CTGTTCCCGGTGCGGACCGGAAGAAGGTGGCGCTGGGACGGGCGGCGGCGCCCGAGGGCGTGAAAGTGAAAGAAGACGACGTACTCAAGATGGACGTCCTTGCGTCAGAGTTTTTCGAGACGCGGGTGATCAAGGAGGAAGGCACATGCTGTATAAAAAGGTGGTCAGCGTCAAGCAGGAAGCGATACATGACGAGTGACCCCCCTCTCCCCCCAAAGCCAATCCAGCCAGTGCCTTTGCCTCTTCGTCTCGCATTCCTAAATGGCAGAGGCGAAAGACGGCAGTATCTAGGACAATTGGCGGGCCAATGATGCATCAAACTGTTCCATCCCCCAAATCGCAAAGCCGCTTGCCGCACCCACCAGCACGCACGCATGTATATACGTACATATGCGTGCGGCGGTGGTCACATCCCCACGTCCCACGGCCACGGCCACGTAGCGGTGCATGTCAGGCCACCACGCACTCGCACAGGCAGAGAGGCCTGGTTTCTTGACCGGCTTTGCCAATGGCGGCCCGGATGGGCGGGGGTCAGCGAGTGTTGTCGCCATGTCGTCCGTCATGCGATGAATGGTTGTCGAGCGCTTTGCTGCCCACCCGACCCGACCTCCCTCCAGCAAAGGACTGTGCTGCGACCACGACAGTCGACAGGCGAATGACGAACCGCCCGACGGGCCCGACCCCGCGCGATGGTGTCGGGTTGCGAGTCAGGTGGGCCAGTAGTGCTGGTTCCGGGGCTGGGCGGCCCATGGCTGATACGATATCGGAGATAGGCCGGAATGAGTCTGAGCCTGGCACAGGTGAGCCTGGCACAAGTGTTGGGAGATGACGGGGAGAAGGCGAGATGGGCGCATTCAACCTGACTCGTATGCTTACACGTCACAAGTACATTGATTCGTATCAAAGATTCACAAGAACGACGTGCACAGTAAATTGGAACAAGTCGCACAACTGCGACGTGATGATGGCCCGGGAAGTGATAGCATGTGTACCATCTAATAGAACATGTCCGAGTCTATGAAGTCTATTACGCTTCGAGCCATCACAAGGTTCCACCAGCTGTCACGGAGCGGGACATGTGGGTAGAGTGGAAATGAACAATAGTGCGTGTGCCACAATCAAGGATGGATGCGGGGTGAAGGGTGTAAAACAGATCATGATGCTACCATCTAGCTCCCCGACCTGCGACCCAGAGGTATATGGACAAAAATGATAATGAGGCCCTCCGATACGCCGTGCGGAGGTAAGGGTAAACTAAAACGACTAAAATACAATAACATGCTCTGGGACGGCGGAAGTTCGCTTCGTCGATCCGGTTGTTCATGAGGGACAAGGTGGTGTGTCCGAAGTGAAGTGCTGGAGGCCGCTCGGTCGATATCTTCCAATCGCTCGGCGCCTCTCGTTTCCTCCGTATGTGGCAAGTGATTTGCTCAGTCGCACCGGCTGGTTTCCAGTCGCTTGTCGATGGCGACGCCTTACTGCTTTCCAACAGGGCGTTGATGCCGCGTCAAATTGCTCCTCGGCGTCGGCCGTTTCCCCGTGGAAGGGGTCGGTGCTGTGTTGCTTATATTTTGACACGTCGCGGGAT